ACATACTCCTGAACAGTATTCTAGTCCTCAAGTTCATCCTTTAATTTTTTCTTCATACGATGCAATCTATACCGAACAACATCATATATCTACAGAACACATTGCTTCAGAGATTTTCAGTCAGAAGCCAAAATCTGCTCTGCGAATGATAAGATGGAAAAAGAGGTCTTTTGACTTCTCATCCAATCCATTATTGACAAATTGAAACATGCATATCAGAATTGGAGAAAGCAAAGAAAATGAAGAAATAAAATTGCTACCTGTGCATAATCCAGACAACAGTAAGAGTGAGTGTGTAATTTAACCTTCTCCTCTCCCTCTTTCCCTCCTGGTTGACCATCAACTGTTGCAGCAACTGCAGCACTATATATCTTTTCTCCTTTAGCCATCTGTTACCAAATCAAACATCAGAATGCAAGCAAATCAATAAAACTAAGAATTAGATATGGTTAGCATGATTCAGAAAAAAATACAAAGAACTTACTTATAGAAAAATAAGCAGATGTAACTTAGAAACATGAGTATAGGGGAAGAGAAAAGTGGACATTATCGGATTTTAACCTCTTTTCTATGATCACGTGTGATTATTTTTTCTTCCTCAAATAGCCATAGAGTCCTCCGAAGTTGCTTTGAATGTAGTTTTAACTTCTTTGCTAAATCTTCTTCCCTAACCCATTGTCTCCTAGAAATGAAAGCAAAAATTGTGAATTGTAATAACAGAAAAATCTGACTAGCAAATTGTAAGCCTAGAGGGAAGGAGCAGCTCAAACAAGCAGGCATGTTTAGCCTGCAACAGTAAATTATCCTTGAATATATATAATATTAGCCTGCAACAGTAACAGAAAAATCTTCTTGTTTTTGGGAAATTCATCTAATCAGAGGGAGATATGGCAAACAAGTAGAGCCCACATGTTGGAACAGTGTACAAAAAGGTAATCCGAGTCAACCCGAAGATGCTTGATGACCGAGTGAATGCGGCCCACTTCACTTGTTAGGATAATTCTTGATTTTTGACTTTATTAATATTCCACGTAGGATTGGTCGTCTCCTGGTTGGACCGATGCAACCGGGTTGACTTAATAGCCTTGCCTTTGCTCTCCTTTTCATATGGAGAAAACATGGAATGGACCGAATTCCTTGCATTCATCCCCACTTGCTTGGCCACCGGCTTATATTGATTTGATGCGTATTTATTTAAAAATAATTATTATTTCTTTTCATTTTCAAAAAAATGAAATTATTTGTTTTTTAATTCTTCATTTGTTATGAAATTAAGTTATTAATTACTTAAATAATCCAGAGGACGTAAATATTAAGCATAGTGGTTGCACTTGCAAGTTAAAACAAAAAGGAAAATGCAAGAGCTAGTGAAATACGCCTCTTTATTTGAAGAATTAAGTAAAAAAAATGGAAGTCCTTTTGGACTTTGGTCCTCCTCCTCTCCACTTACTACTTATTTTAGCGTTTGATTTACTTATTTGTTGTAATGACATTATTAAAAAATATTTTACTTAACATATAATGAAATATGTTCGAATCTATCAAGCGGCTTCATTGGTAAAAGGAATATTTATCTCATAAAGATTTTGGATTCGAATGATAATGTTTGCAGAACGTGTGTGCATTATTAATAAAATTCTGAACATATATTACCTTGTAATCAATCTAGACTATTGAAAAATGAAATATGTTTCATTTGAGATAATATAAAGTTTACATGGTAGTCATAATTTACGTTATTTTATTATTCTTGTGATTTTATTGATTTAATTAAATAAATTTTATTTAAATTGTTAAAATAGATAAACACGAAACACATAATTCACGTCAAAATAATAGTGAAAAACTTGTTCTAAAAGGCAAATAATGTTTAGGAGATAAACTATTATAAGAAAACAAAGAGGGAAAGGAATGCAAGTTTATATAAGTAGTGAGCAGAAAGTGAAAAGATTGGAATTAAAACGTGATTCATTTAATTGAGACTATATAATATTGTCACTAGAAATCATGAGTGGTTTATAAAATCCTATTATTTCTCAAATTTGATGTGAATGCAAAGAGATATGTGTGGATGTTTTATTTCAATTATAATATTATTGTGTCACATTTTTTATGATTAAAATCTTAATAGTTCAATTATGAAATAGAATTAGAACACTAAGGAAGCACAGCACAATATGCTACCAATTTTAACATCTATACACACACATATAAATATATATATATATATATATAATAAAAGTAAAAGTAATGTAAATAAAAGATATGACAATATTATATATGCACACCAATTTTCCCTTCCTTGTATTTTTCTTTATTTTCGTTTGTTCTCCATTTTAATTGATTGAATAATTTAGGTAGTTGGTCGTGAAGAGTTCTCACCTTTTAATTTGAGCAAATAGTTATGGCGGTATTGATATGGTCATTGAGTGATATTTTTTTGTAAGAAATGAATGAAAGATGAGAAATAAAAGGAAAAGAAAGAGCCCCTTCCTAAGGTGACATACTAAACGGATATGATTGTCAAATCTTTGAATTTCGCACCAATAGATTATTAGTATATTGTAGATTATTTTAGCCTTGCTAAAATTGATAGTTGTTATCTTTTCATTCATTTTACTAAGATTAGCAATGACGGGGATCAGCCTCTTCTCTGAGCTTCAATATCTTCCTCCAGCACCAACTAGCATTTCCTTTAAGGAAAACCTGCATATAGAGTCTACCTTCCATATATATTCACACAACCAAGCAACACATAGTGAACCAAGCAATACATGCTTTGTTCCACATCTCTAATTGTTTTATTCCAAGTCCCCCTTATGATTTGGGAGAGCATATTTTACTCTACTGAACACATGCTCTTAATGTAGGTACATCATCTCCTTTCCAAGAATCTAGAACAGATCTGATTAATCCTTTTGAGTATTGCTTTAGGCAAGATAAAATGCATGCACCAATAATTTTGCATTTGAAATACAAACTGTAATCGTATAGCAAATCTAAGTTTCGAAGCATACCAATTAACCTGTTACCTTAGCTTTAATTTTCTGCAGCAGTGGACTATAATCCTTTTCAGATAATATCCTGATCACCAAAGGTATCCCAAGTATCTAACATAAAGCATACCAAGTTAAAAGTCAATAATGCTTTTAATTAATTCCAAATCCTTCAATAAAACACCAGCAGCACATACCTCACTCTTTGAGGAGTTAAGTTGCAACCCTGACAATTCATAAAATTGAGAAAGGATACTCCCTATGCCTGCAACAGATTCTGGTTTATCTTTATAAAAATCAATAGATCATCTGCAAATGACAGATGAGTTAGCTGTACTCTATGACGCTCCTAACTTATCTCTACTACTTGAAATTTATTGTATGTTGGTTTGCCTACTTGTACAAGTGTTTGAAACATAGTTGTGTGGTTCATTGCTAGTGAATTGGTCTGAACGATTTAGACGTTAAACATGCATGAAAATATACATTTATGATCCCATTTCAGTTGTAATCACCTTAAATAAGTGTTGGGAGTATCAAACTTCGTCAGCTTGTCTACTATACCATGTTTTCTTCACATGGGATCCATATGAATTCAGTAAACTAACTACGCCTACGAATTGCAGAAATTGCAGGAACCGAACCTTGACCCGCATTTGGATCACTGAGCAGCTGAATTGCTTGAGCGCAATCGGATTAAACCTGGAGGAACTTAAAAACCGTAAGACCATGCGTTATATCCTTACGTTGAATTTAGAGAAGTTTGGGATCGAAGAAGAGAAAAGAATAGAGAATTGAGAGAAACAAATTTCTTTCACAAATTGCATGCCTCATTTACACGGAGTACCATGTTTTATTTGTTTACATTGTACTGAAAATCTATTAAATGCCAGCTGGCGTCTCTTTGCAGGTGTATTGGGCTTCCTCTTCTGGGCTGATCCAGCATCCATCGAGCGGGCTGATGAGGGTGTTATAACTCCCTCGTGCTTCTCACGTGCCGTGCAGATAGAATTCCTCAATTTGGTGGCTTCAATCCCTAACCCTCGACCTTCAATTCCCAATTCCTTCTCGTCTAAACGCTCTTCTTCCTCTCCGACTACGACACCATGCAAGCTGCAGGCCCATGAAGATGCTCCACAGTTCAACTTGTAGAGGCGAGGAGACGCCAACTGCTTTTTTATAGCCAACAAGCCATGAGCCATCGTTCGCTCGAATGATGCCTCCTGTAGAAGCTAAACCTGAGCAGGGATCGGCAGTAGCATGTGTTTAAGCAGCAACAATCATCAGCAGGCGGCTTCCACATAATTAGCTCGAAGGACCTTGGTACTTGTGAATGAGAGGAGGGACGCAACCTGCAAAATTTGAGGCCTAAACTATACTCCCTTGTAGAACATCGTTCATCGAAGGAGATACATCGGCGAAAACGTAACTATTTCGGCGTTTCCAAGGCTGCCACAAGAGCATTTCTGCATTTCCAAAGCTGCCACAAGATCGTGGGGAACAATACAATCCATAGAGTAGTCGGACATGGAGAGGGGAAGCCATCGGAGAGATTAAGAGAAACCATGCAGCATCAGGTGAAAAGAACCTGAAATGAGCTGGGAAGGGAGATCCACAGCCAAAGATCACGGACAGCTGCCCAGTCCCGCAATTATTGAACTTTATAAATTCAAACACAGATTTTAATTTTTATTTTCTAATATAATTTGAACTTTATAAATTCAAACTAAAAATGCAAATTAAAAATTCAAATTGACTCAAAATTTTCAACTCAAATAACTCAACATTAAAAAAAATGGAGCAAATCAAATATGATTACTGTTTTTCAATAAACGATTAAAAACATTTTACATGGAACAAATAATTGCCGAAAATGCAATTTAACAAATTTTTTCTTGGATCATCGTTTCATAATACATTCAACTAATATTCAAGGAACCAAGACAGATGACCACCACAGGATACAGAGGATGAAATAATACAAATACGTGGACCAACCAAAACTAGAACGCAAGGCAAACAAGATCTAATAATATGATAAAGAACTCGAATGGCTCTCAGTCATTAGAATGTTCACATTCATATACTTTTGCAGGTATTGAAAGATTGCTTTCTAACATAAATGAAAGATCATGCATTTGCGACATCAATCTCTCTATTTCATCACTTTTTGAACCTGTTGATGTAGCATTACAGATATCACCATCTTTTGCACCTTCAGCTTCACTACTGCCTCTTACATTTGCATCACCCATACTGAAACATGTGAATGCACATATCAGAAATTTTTCCTCCCTCTTTCTCATGGCAAGTGTGGGAAACAAGCATGTTCTTGTCATGGGTATACTCACTTTTTTCCCACATATGAGGAGAATCATGTCTATGAATCAGAGACAAACGTAAAATTTTATGAAGGATGCAAACTTATAAAATTTTAGGAAGACTAAAATAAATTATCAATAGAATATATATATATATTATGTGAGAAATTAAAATTTTCAGTGGGGGAGCTCCATTCCTATCCATGAACCTTTGTCCAAAATATGTATCGGACAAAAATAGATACTTAAGAAAAATAGAGTCTAGACAGCATTTAATCAATTATCAATTATGGAAGCTAAAAAAGTGAAAAGTTGTGTCTATTTATAGTTAGGCTTTATCAAAGGAATCATTCTAATTACTCTCTGGTTCTTCCCAAAATATTCTCAATAACAAGAAAATAATTGAGTTAAAACTAAACATTGTAATCACCATAATGAAGAAGAATATGTTAAAACTAAACAGCAAGTAAAATATCAGTTCTGTAGGAAGTAAAATGATAGAATAAGTGTACACACCAGTCTGAAAGAGGAGCTGCAGACCAGAAAATATTGGTTTCAGTTGAGCCATTTTGATTGCTGAATGCCCCTGAAAAGAAATCATGTTGAGATGAACTACCAAAATTGTTATCGGTTGAATTGTTATCCGCACTGAACAAGTTCACTTCTGAAGTTTCAATGGAAAGCATTTCTTGATGGACAGCAGTTTGCTCTACAGAAATACTTGAAGGGTCTTTCACTCTAGTTGAGCTTGAAAAATCATTCCAGGTAGCAGACAAGCTGTTATTATCATCAATGGTCTGATTATCAGTTCTAACAGCTTGTTTCGAAGAATTACTAAGAGAATCTTGCTTAGTAATTGAGCTTTTGAAGTCGAACCAATCACCAAATGAATCATCTGATTCCTCAATAGGTTTTCTATCAGATGCCTTCTGCTGGTTACCTGTTAACCATTGATCATCAGGAAACCAATCAACATCCATTGAGGGAGGATCATGCACACCCCTAGCTGTTCCAGAATCCATACTATTAACAGTTGCATCCAAGTTTTCAGCTTGAGTTAAATTTGAGGTAGAATTGGACCATAGATCATCCTGAAACCACCTATTTGCATCAGAAGCATTAGAGCTATCTTTTGCTTTCCCATCAAACAAATCTTTTCCCGATGTAAAAACAGTATCAATATGATCATAAAGATCAACTGAAGAACCCACAAAAGGATCAGATGATTTGGATCTCATGTGATTAGTTTCAAATTTGGCAGATTGGAAGTCAGGGTTCCATCCAGAAAAGGGGTCCCTACTCTTTACTTCAGTAGAAGTAGTATGGATAGCATGTTCTTTCGAAGAACTTTTTGAAGAATTCAGGACACTTGAGCTCTTAAAATCATTCCAAGCTCCAAATGATTCATCATCTTCATCATTGGTTGCACTGTCAGCTGCTTCGACTCCACTCAATGGCCATTGATCATCTTGAATTTTGTTTATACTCACAGAAGAATCATTTATATTTGCTAATGCCCTGCCATCCTTATCACCCAGATTCTCATCAGATTCTACAGTATGATGAACTGTCTTTGAGGAGGAACTACTCCATAGATCATCCTGAAACCAATTAGTAGTTTGTGATGAAGTAGTGTTATCTACTGCTTCTCCCTCAAAGAAGTCTCCTGTACCAAAGACACTATCCACGTGAGTAGAAAGATCGGCAGAAGAACCTGCAAAATGATCAATAGATTTGGATACCTCACGGTGAGCTTCAAAAATAGTAGATTCAGAGTCAGCTCCCAATCAAGAAAAAGAATCACTACCTTTTTCATGCATTGACTTCAAACCACCAGAAGTCTGGTCTGAAGAATTCTGACCAACATCTTGTGCAATGGTGGAACCCTTAAAATCATTCCAGGAATCATCATCGACATCAAGAGTCCTGACACCAGGGGCATTGCTGGTTCTGATTTGATCTTGATCACCTGAAATGGAATTACTCTTCAAATCACCTTGAAACCAGTCTGAAGTTTTGGAAACCAAAGAAGTTTGATTGCTTTTTTCTTTTCCATCAAATAAACTAGTACCCTGTCCGAAGACCGTGCCCATGTTGGAAGAAATATCTTTTGAGGAACTCACAAAAGGATCAAACGACGCGGAGCTAATAGCACCTTGATCAGCTCTAGAATCGGCAGACTGAAAGTCAGCCTGCCAACCAGAGACAGAACCCTGAAAATTGCCAACCGATTCGACAAGCACAGTACTTCCAGTAGAATCAATCCCTTTCTTTGCCGCCGATGTCCCTTCAGAGGGTATCGTATCAGAATCTTCTTTTCTTTCAGCTAAAAAATCATCACCAAGATCAAATCCAGCCAAATTCAACGGATTACCCTTTCTTAAACCAGAATCAAACCCCTCAGGCTCTGAATCATTCCACCTTATTTCTAAACCTAAAATATCAGATAAAGAAGACTCCTCTCTACGTTCTTTATCCCTTTCATTCCCGTCTAAAGTCTCTCCCACAATTTCCTACAACAACAATTTTTTACTTCATTAAGAAATTTTGAAACAACAGCTAAAACCCGTCATTTTTTATGACAAAATAAAAACATAAACAAATAAAAAAGTGACTTACAGATCCATCCAAATTAAGAGAGTGAAGAAACCATCGGTAACCCGAAGTGGACTGGAATTTGATGGACGGAGGCGACGTCTCGGTGGGGCGTTTGCCGCAGAAAATGCAAAGGACAGAATCGGAGCCTCGGAGGAGACGAGCCTTGCAGTGGTGGCAGCGGAGGTTGGGAGAGTCATCAGTCGAGTGAAGGAAGGAAGGGAGACCGGGAAGCGATGGGTCATTCGGATCGTAGGATGGAACGTTGGCTTGCTTGCGAAGTGAGATCTGGAGTTGGTTTATTAAATCCTTTGAGATTCCAACAGCCATTTGTCTTCTGAATTAACGATCTTTTTCTAGTTATCGTCTTTGTGTCATATCTGATCTCATCGGCATCGCTTTATCATTCCAATGGCGAGCCGATGAATGACGATGGCAGGGGGATTCGATTCGTAACTGAACGGTGCCGTTTTATAACTGGTTTTCCTTCCCAGTTTTCGATTTGCATTTTATTTAATTGGGTGTTTAGGTGTCGGCCCATGTTCTATTTTGATATAATCGAATCAAATAGTTAAACTTCAAATTTATTTTTTGGATCTAATCTAATTAAACATTAATTAACATGGTATACGAATTTTAATTTAATGTAATTTTAATTATAAAGTTAAAATTGAATAAAATCAAATAATATTAAAATCAAAATCTAATTATAAGTTCATTATATCAAATTAAAATCGGAGTAGATAAAAATCCAACCAAACTTAATTCGTTGCACTCAAAGGCAGCACGGTTAAACAATGGAAAACTTAAGGCCGGCAAAACAAAGTTGAATAAAAAAACCAATAAAACAATAGCAGTAATAAAGTCGAAGAAATCAGTGTTGGAGGTGATGCTAGGATTTGACATTTGCCTACTTCTACCTCAAACTAGTCTCTGAATCTATAAGATTTTGGCAAAATTCTATCTCCATTTCGATCTCCCACTGAACCCAACAACAGTGACCGATAAAAAGAGATGGCCATGAACCAGGCGGCGGTGGTAAAGGTGGGGTTGGCCTGTGTTTGTTCGGGTACATAGTTGGTCCACCGCTATACTGGCACCTCATGGAAGGGTTAGCCGCCGTCAGCCGCACCTCCAACACTTGCCCACCTTGCCTTTGTGACTGCTTTTCTCATCTGCTTCTCACAATCCCCGAAGGTATTTCCAGATCTGGGTTAGATCTCTTTTCTTCAGCCGTTTCTTCTTCTTTTTCTTAATGTGATTTATCTTGGATTTCATCAATATCCCAAGCTCAAATTGCACCATAGTAGTAAACAATCTAGTTTGGTCGATCTGGAATCATTTAATTTCTTTATTTAGTTAGCTCATATTGTTTATTTCTTTCTCCTTTTTTACTGGTTCAAATCTATGCTAAATTTGTGATTCTGTCTTTAATTTTTGCAGGACTGAGCAATGCTTCCTTAGTAGGTCAGTTTTCTACTGTCGATGTCATGGATATATTTATTGGAATATAGAACTAAATAACTCAATTTGAAGGAAATTTGTGATTTTAGGAACAGTTCGTTAGGAAAATTATAGAATGGTTATATCACTGGGTCCCTTGTGTATGAATTAATAATGAAACTATTTATTCCAGGGTAATACTGGTCTATTTGTGTTCTTTTATACAGCCCGTGTTTTGAAGGTTTTACTTCAATATTCTGCAGATTGTGCGAAGCATGATCCAGAGATGGACGAGGATACTGAAAATAACTTTGCAGAACTTTTGACTGGGGAACTGAAGCTTAAGCTTTGGAAAGTCAGCAACAGGCCGACATGGCATTACTCTAGGCTAAGAAGATAGCATCGCAGTATCAAAAGGAAGCAGACAAGTTTAGTTCAGGTATGGAAACATGTGAAGAAGCAAGGGAGAGAGCCGAAGTGGCTCTGGTGGCTCAGAAGAAATTGACAGCGATGTGGGAAGCAAGAGCTCGCCAAAAAGGGTGGAGAGAAGGGGTTGCTAAATCTCATACAAACTCGCAAGGTAATGTCCAAGCTGTCTAAATGATCCAGCATGGCCTTGTAAAAGAACTATTAGAAGATGCATTTCGTTTTTCACACTGCTTGGTGCTAGGCATGTGGATTCTGGAGTAACTTATCGCGTCTTACCGTTAAAGCTGGTCTTATAGTCAAGGGTTCCAGAGTTAATCCTATATGTAGTCTGATTTTGCTCTTGTGATCTTAAGTATAGTTACCCTTGCTTTTCGTGGTGCCACTCAACAGCGACATCCATTAAAAAGCTTGAAGATGTTGGTGTTCTTTGTGAACTGTTGCTCTTGTAAGACCGTTTTTAATTCTTCTGGCATTCTAGTAACTCTTAAAAGTGATTATGATTTGTGATATAGGAAAAAGAATAGTTACTTGTTCCAGTTCCATCGAGCATTGAGGTTCTCTTCACCTCATTTATAATATCACAATTGTTTATAACAATAATGAATTATATAATAACATCAATCAAAATATTATATTATTTAGTGGGAATTTATTTATTCTTTTATTCTGAATAAATAATTGCAGCATCATATCAAAATACTTAATAGTTAAAATTCCTCCAACAATTGGCAGAAAATAACCTCCCAACAATAATCATTATGTAGCAAAAATCAACAGTTCTGAAAGAACATTGGATTCTGAGGTACAGAGCATCAATCTCTTAGTGTTGAGGTAGAGATTTTAAGCAGCCTACTTAAAAGTATGAACAAGAACAAGTTTACATCACTATCATAAGCCCCAGCAACTCAGTTGTTGCTGAGCTACCTGGTCTAATAAACAATTTTTACAAGCAGTATTGAGTTTTCAAAGATGAACTGGATCGTTTCATTTGTATACTTCCCCTAGTGAGGAAGTTGTATACCAAGATCATACATGTCAGGCTGACCGTGGATGCACAGTCCATGCTCGTTGGCCAAATGTAGCAGGCATATGAAAAACAGATGAGGCGAAATCTCCTTGGTTGCTCCAGCTGCTTTGCAATCAGCAGGAAAGCTTGCCAAGAGATGCCTGAATGATAGCTTTTTTTCAGGGATCTTCACAAAAGAAAACAAGTTGAAAATTAGAATGATAGCAGTGAGTGCCCCGGTCCTCATTTAATGACAAACAATCAAATTGACTCCGGCAACATCAATGTTAGATTATCAGTCAATGAAAGAAATCAAATTTCTAGGGGACAGAATCAAGTTCTCATTTCATTATCCTGCTTTGATTCTATTCTTCATTATACATGATATTGCTATTGAGCTTCATTTTATAGCTTACCTTTTTGATATATTCTCTTTCATCTTCTTTTTATGTGAGGAGCATTACTTAAATGTTTTGTGTTTGCACTCCTAATGGTACAAAAAGTACGAATGAATTTGAGGCCTCCAGATGCAGGCAAAGCCAATTTGAGGATATTCTAACCACTTATTAAGTGAGCAAAAATAAGGATATTAAGATGACTATCATCTATGCTACAGAAAGCAAAAGAAAATTGGTACCTGAAATGATGTTTCTTGAGATTGTTGTATCTGATCCCAAAGAGTTTCTTTCAAAGCTTGGACATCAACTTGTTTTGATGCCTTATCATACTCGACTTCAATTTTACTAACCTGAAAATGAAATGAGGAAAGTGAGAACCATAAAATAACTAGCATTTAACTACATATTTCAATGTATGAGATAAATTTTAAATTACAAATAACCCATCCCAAAAACTAGCAAAGCAGTAGTTAAGGTTGTAATTACTGAAATAAAAAACAGTCGCTACAATTCCTTGTTTCAATCCAGAGAGGACCATCTAGGGCCAGCATGGAGAAACACCAGAAATCTAAAAGAACAACCTGTCGAGGCTGAGAAACAAGCATGCCGGAGTAATCAAGATCGCTATGATCAACTTCATCATCAAAACCACCAAATGCACCTTGCTCTTCCCAGGATGCCTGTGGATCATAATCACCGCACTGTTCCCTTGATTCGTCTGAAAATCATGTAACATGTGAAGATAATAACTATACCATAGCACATCAGTAAATGTTCTACATTTTACAATCAATAGATGCATTTGAACAAGATCCCTTCTTTTTAGCCATGAGACAAGATGTAATCTATTAGAAACAAAACAAGACAACCATTAACATGAACATTTTTGAAAAAACAAGTTCCTAGTATGCATTCATGAGCTGGTAAGTAGTTTCTTTCCTAGTATGCATTCATGAGCTGGTAAGTAGTTTCTGTAAGAGATTATAATCAAATTACATATTTTAGAACATTTTAAATGCATACACAATAATATTGTATCCTCTATGCTAAAGAACAAGTAAAAACCATCCTTTTAGCTTTAACTCGTTCAGACAACAGAGCTCCCTCCATCATGATGTGAGGGAAAAAACTTCAAGAAACAACTAGCGAAATATGACAGACTACAATGTTGTCCCAATCAACATGGGAAAGATATGTTAGACTGATTGGCAGTTTACAAACATTCAAGAAAAATACTACCATTTGAGAAGTATCTATGAGAAATTTACCAGACAACTTCCTTCTCCTCCTTCTGCCAAGGCACTGCAAAAGAATGTCTTATTAAATGAAAATCAAATAATGAGAAAAACATTAGACCAAGTCATATTTTAGTAGGAAACTTGTGATCGTGCATTACCATCGCATCTGGTAAAAGAAACAATTTGACAAGATCCTCAGGTTGATAGTGGCAATCTTCAGGAAGCTTTGTATTACAAGGTGCTCTATTTGAAGGTAGCAGTAATGACTTTAGATTTTTAGGAGGAGCAAAGATGTCTGGCACTTCATTATCCAAGGCTTTTGTGAAATCAATATCAGGCTCTGCTTGTTTCTTATTTCTGGCTTTCTTTGTTGTTAAAGTTGTTGCATTTTCTTCGTTAGAGACATTCTCAGAACCTATGGTATTCAACGCACGAAACCATGTTATTGAGCCATGAAAGGTAAAAATGTTGATAAAATATAGCACCTGTCACTAGCTCCGCGACATGTACCTTTAGTTTTCCGATATTTCCAATGATCAGGACCGGCCCAAGTATTTTGCTTCGAAGGAAATCCCAAGCTCAAAAACAAATATTCATCAACTTCTTCAAATATGCCATCTGCATCGCGATTGTTAAAAGAAAATTGCTCTGTATCCTGTGGAATTCAATTACGATTAATAAGCACATAAATCTATTCTTAACCACTTTAAACTATTAAGAGAAGAAAATATGTTAAACCTCGTGATAACTCGTGAAAGATGGTTCCACTCTGTTAAATTCCTCATCGACATAGCTTGGCTGGTCATCATGATCAAAACCATCAGTTTCAAAACTCTCAAATGCAACACCATTGAACTCATTTTCATTATTTATACTATAAGCTTGGTCTGCTGATCTCTGACTGCAGGAAAAGTTCTCCAGTGGCCTTCTGTTATCTTCATCAAATTGATTGACTATATTCTTGAGAGTCGGTGAAATTTCATCCTTTGCTTGCATGTTCAATACCATACGCTCAAGGTATTCTGTAACAGATCAAAGAATGAAAGTAATAAATATCAATACCTACTTTTCTCAAATAAAGATGTCAAAACACACCAAAGGAAACCAAAGACAAACCTTCACCAAAAGATAGATCAATTGTTTCAGATACATCATGTTGATTTGAACAAGGAATTTCCTTCCCTGGCACTTCAAATGAATCAAAGAGAACCCGGCATCCAGCATAAACACCAAGATTATTCAACAAAAGACCTTTGGCTCCACCTTCATCAAATTGTGCAGATGTTTGATGATATAGAGGATCCACTGCGAAGGCAACTGAACAAAAAAGATTGTGTCATAACCAAAGCTTGTGCCTCATACTGGAATCAAGATTGTTGGTATGTGTATTTACCATCAAATTTCTTTACATTAAGAGCCTCAAAAGAAGATTCCAATGTTGATAAAGGTGACATCTGTATACATAGACAATCATTAATGTATTGTTTAAGTAATAAATTTCTTTGAATTTAAAGACCACAAACCTTTTTCTCTGACTCTTTCTTTGGATTGCCTTTCTGTGCGGTGGCAGCATTGATATCCTCCTTCCCAGAACCTAGCATTGTAACATAACATAGCATTTAGCTAAAATCAGGCAGATAAAGCTGAGCAAGTCAACAGATAGAAATCTGACTGTAACCTATTCTTATTTTCCATGAAAAAAATACTGATTGATTAGTCTGAATCTGTTGAGGTTCTAGAACTTGAAGTTGGTATAAAATATATGTTTGGACTTTGGATAGCATAGGTGGATTAACTCGTCTGTTTTATCTACCATCTACTACAGTGTGTACTTAAAGAAAATGATTAGTTAGGATCAACAACAATGTCTGGTAATATTTATTAAATGTTTAACATAGCAAGCATTTGTACAGACTCTTGCATTTCATGCCAAGCACTTGGGCAGATTACGCCCTTAGCATAGCCTGCTCCTTTAATTAACAGGTTTAAAAAAAACAAGACGCTAATCTGAAGAAAAGCAAATGCAATGGAGAGCTTATGTCGCTAAATGTCAAATCAGACATACAAAAAGTGATAGAGAGAAATAATGTAGGCACCAGCATAAAACAAATCTAACCTTGCTCATTTTCATAACCTGCTCTGTTTATCCCGCCGAGAACCTTGTATGCCTCTGAATGAACCGAATCCACCCTCAACGAGTAAATCTTGACACCAGCTTCCAAAGTACAACTGGCCTGTACAAAGTATATTGCAACTCCATTAAACATGAAGAAACAATGGTAATATAATCAATTAATCAGGCTATAATTTTTTTAGCCTTTTTTCTCCAAACATTTCTGATAGTTTTGGCTTTCACAGTTACCTCTAGACTTAGCAATATTAGACACAGATACAAATATAAAAATTTATGAAAATCTATAGAAACAAACTCATTAATGTATAAAAAAATATTTATGCAAGTATACAATACTCTAAACATAATTATGGAACAACAAAATATATGAACGCGACAAGGATATAGGAGGTCTAGTTATAAGCAACTGGTTCAGCTCACATTTACACGACAGATACTCAGTCTGACACAGTTGAAAATGCAGTTGCACTGATCCAGAACAACATAAGGAACTTCTTGTTTCGGACTCTCAGTCTAAGCATTGATTTACTTCCATATTAGATGGTAAAATCACTATTAATAACTAAAAGGAAATGCCTTCTGTAATAATAAGCAATAAAGGTGAAACATATTCCTAAATACACCTATTATAGTCCCCAACATTAGCCTCGGAATTATTTTGTTGATTTTGTTATCGGGGTCAAATTCATATCTTGTTTAATCCACTTCCTACCATGTTAAACGTAATAAAAACGCTAAACATACCTTTTGAAAGTTCGTCTCCACATCATTTTCTTCTTCAACCTTGATAATGTCGCGAAGATGGTCTATTAAATTCAGCTCCCAAGTATTCTTTTGATTAATTTTCTGCTTCCAAAAAAAAAAGAAAAATAATAAATTAAATACACATAAAAAGACATTAGAACAATCCAACCACCAAAACTCAAATGCTACCGCTTACTATTTTCTTAAATTGAAAAAAGAAAAAGAAAACAGGATGCAGTAACGCAAAGATTTTAAATTTCATTTACTTAAACCTACAAAACAAAAACTCGCATTAATGGGATAGAGAGATTGAGCGGGAATTAGAGACATTTTCACTGGCCAATTTGATGCAATTTTGGAACAACTCTAGAATCTGAACTTTATCGAGGCAAGGATCGGGATCAGTTGGCGGCTGAGCCTGTGAAGTTATGGGCTTCCGGCGGATAGCTGCGGCTCGCGCGACTCGAGCCTGCGCACGCTCGAGTTTGTCGTCGTTAGAGCCCAAGAAGAAGGGGCTTGTTGGGGACTGGATGCGAGCAGCCATAGGGATCCGTGGCCTAGGGTTAGGGCTTAGCGCTTCGGCCATTGGCTAAAGGGGGCTTAGGCGTTTTTCTTCTTTAACAGTTCGACGGAGCCTCCTTGTTCAGAGCTTCTGTAGTCTGAAATTGGCGGAAAAAGAAAAAGGGGAAAAATGCAGTTTCTTCACTCTCTCGTTATAAGAAAAATAATTAAACAATAAATATATATTTTCATTTCCCTCCAATTTCATGGTTTGAATCTCAAAGACAATTTTGTAGTTCTAGTTGCGTGCGGAGTCCGAGATCTATGAATCAAAACCGTCGGTTTATTTTACTTTTAAGTTTTTCCATAATCCCATTGACCCTGTAATTTTGTTGACAAAAAAACCTAAAATTTGATGTATCATATAATTTTATGTAATTTAAAAAAACTTAATATAAAAAATATTTAAATTATACTTTTTTTCGTTTAAATATTTTTTTAATATAGTCGTCTAACGTTTTCGACGTTATCATTTTAAATGTATGATCTATCACAATCGTTAAAAATTAATCAACCAATCATTATTTAACACTTGATTTAATTTTTAATTTCCTTTTATTTTTTTAAAAAATAAAATTTTCTATTATACAAAAAAATACCTCAAACATTATAAAACTCCAAAAATATCTCTAAAATCTTGTTGTCGATCGTCATTATGGTTGGCGTTCACCTACTCACTCGTCAACCACTATTTATAGTCCTTATACAAAAATAATTGGGTTTAAGGATTTTGAGGATTAAAACTATTATAAGTGACTGACGATGAGTGAGTAGACGATCGACGGGGATTGTTGTTTTGGGATTAAGGAAAGATTTTTTTTGAGATTTTACAAAAAAAAGGTGGAGTTTTTTTTTTTTTTGAAAAAATAATAAAAATTTTAAATTTTTTAAAATAAAAATTTATAAACTTAGCACGTGTCACATTTTGAGTAGTTGATTGATTTTTAACGAATTTTTTAATGATTATGACGAACCAGACATATAAAATAATAATGTCAAAAAGGTCAAGCACCTACATTAACTAAAAATATTAGACACTAAAGTGAAAAAATATGTATAATTTAAACATTTGTTTGTAATTAAACCTTAAAAATTTTAATATATATATATATATTTTAATAAAATAACATTATCCAAATGGTTGTAGTTCACAATGCATATAATATAAATAAAGATAAATTACACTCCTAACCATTTAATTATATGTCATTTAATTATAAAATAATTTAACACGATGATTAATCCTTTTAATTTTATCAACCTGTAGACACTAATTTCCATCCACATTTTTTATTTTTACATATATACACATATATATTATATAGTTTGCAAATTGTTTTTGAAAATACATATATAATATATAGTTTAAAACATTTTTTGAAAATATGTATATTATATAGTTTTTAAAATATTTTTTGAAAATTATATATTATATAGTTTTTGAAAACGTTTTTAAAATATATATAATATATACTTTTGAAAACGTTATGAAAACACTTATATAATATATAATTTTTAAAAACCATTTTGAAAATATATTTTTTTGAAAATTATATAATATATAGTTTTTGAAAACGTTTTAAAATATATATAATATATACTTTTGAAAACGTTATGAAAACATTTATATAATATATAATTTTTAAAAACCATTTTGAAAATATATATAATATATAGTTTTTTTTTAAAAAACATTTTAAAAATTTATATATTATATGTTTTTGAAAACGTTTATATATATATTATATTATTATTATTTATTTTTTACTTTTAATTTATTTATTTCTCATTTATTTTTTGTGCAGGGTCCAGGTTCAAGAATCCAGTCCAAGTTTGGGCCTGAACTAGCCCGGCAAGAGATTAGGGTTCCCAGTTTTCAGTCACCAAGCAGTCAGGGAGCCAAACGGTCAACAGTGCCAACGGCCGGCCGAGATCCCCGGGACTGACCCATCCCGGGATGACCGGCCACAACAACCACGATCCCGAGATCGTCGGGACTCACAACGGCCAGTGGGGGTTATAAAAACCCACGGGCGACGGGGGGATCTGGGGAGAACCCAGAACCGAGAGAGAACCCACGAGGCATCACAACCAAAAACTGAGAACACAGTGAAATAGACCACCACGGTCGAACAAACCGAACCATTAACCCATACTGCCAAAAAACAAAACCAAACACAGTACCATTACGAGAACAGTACACCAAAGAGACAACCACAGAGAACCATCAACCAAGTATCATCGATCAACAGAGATATACAGTCAGTAAATCAAAACCACATAGAACCAAAATACGACAGTACCCACAGTAAACTGAGAAAAAATCAACACGAGTATATCATACAAAAATCGCCCCAAATACCAACAAAACGAGAAAAGCCGAGGCCTTTCTCTCAACGATAGGAGCGAAGAACGGCACCGGAGGAGAAGCATCGGAAATCCAAGGGTCAACGAAGAAAAGGGGTAAAAAATCGGAACTTCAAACCTAGATCTACTCCGTTCAGTGGGTTTCTTGGGGGATTTTGGCTTCGGATTTTTGTTAAGGTTGGTGAGGGGAGTGTTTTGCTGAGTGTGTTCTTCTCGGCCGCCGCGAGCAGCGGCTGGGACGGCGAGTAGTGGTGGCCGACGGTAGCTCCGGCGAAAGAGCCTTAGAGAGTGAAGAGAGAATTTCTTTTCTCTCAATCTGAGAGAGAGAGGAGGAAATGTTGAGAATGAAACGAAAATAGGCGGGTTTGGATATATATATACCAGGGACTACCGTGTAATTACAGGATAGTTAAATCCTTTCCGCGATCCCTGTAAGTTTGAGTCGCAATCCATTTCAGTCACCATATGCAATTCGGCCACAGGATTTTCAATTGTTTCAATTCGGTCCCTGTTTAAACTTTACATTTTTGCAATTTGACCCCCTAAATTCTGACCCTTTTTTATTATCATGCTTGCTAATTATTATTCTTTTTATTTTCTTTCTTACTTCATACTGTTTCCATTTTATTACTTTTAAAATAATATTTTTTCTTATTTATTTAGTATTTATTTATTATTTATTTAATTTTAATTTAATTTCTTTGATTTATTGTTTTTTTATATTATTTACTTTTATTATTATTATTTATTTTGATTTATTTAATATCTTTTTTATCATCTAACATTTTCTTTAACATTTTCAGTGGTCCTTTAAATCGGTCAAAGGTAAACAATTCGATCGAGTATTTAAATTCTAATTTAAATTTTTTTTTATTTTCGCTATTAAAGACAATCGGTGAATTAATTGGTACCGAAAGGGCGGTTCAAGGGTGCTAATCCTTCCTTGACCGTAACCGACTCCCGAGCCCAACATATTTCGGGTACAACGCAGATCAGGTAAGATGGTATCCGACCTACCTAAATTCGTTTTAAATGGTCGGTGGCGACTCCAATTCGTTTAATCCATATTTTTCAAGTCGAAGCCCAATTCCGGGGCCCAACCGAAAGACGGTTCCGACAGCTTGGCGACTCCGCTGGGGACAAGGTAGGTGAGTCAGGCCAGAATTAATTTTTTCGGTTGTCTTTTTGTGCGAAAATGGTAAGTTTAAATTTTAATTTATTTATTCGATTCCAATTATTTATCTTTGATTATTTTTCAAATAAATAGTTGTACTGACGTTTTGTAATGATTTCAGATTTTTCAAAATTGTCATCTCTAGCTCTATACCCGAGCTCCGAACCCTTTTAAGTGGGGGCGAAAGCGACGCCTTCGTGGGAATTTATTCTCCGTATGGGCCTAGCAAGTAACCTTCGGGATTCATATACCTTATGTCTTCGTGTGAATTTATTCTCCGTATGGGCATAAGGGAATGTATCCTCTCGAGTTTAACTTAGTCCACATAAGCTTGTGATGGGCTTAGGACTAAGGGTCTGGCAAGCCCAAGGGGGCACCAGCAAGGAGAACTCGAGTACCTTTTTAAAACCTAAACCGATAGAGTACAAAGAATTAGAGACCACCCCGAAACCTCAATTCAAACCCTAGGTTGTTTTGATTATTTCCTCCTTTATTTTCTGTTCAAAGCATGCGAACTAGACAAATATGCGGTTAGGATTTGTTTGAAATTAGCATGCGGGATAGAAATCATGTCCGGGTAGGAATTAAAGCATGAGGGGTAGATATCATATGGGGTAGGATTTCTCATTTTTTTTTATTATTTTGATTTACCTCACTAACCCTTTCATTTTTTGTTCTCTTTTATTTTGTGTTCATTGTTTGCATCATTTAAAACGATGTGTTGATCCACAAAAAAATGTGTTTGTTAAAACATGAATAATCTGCATTAATGGACAAATGGGTTATAATACAAATAGATAAAAAACTCAGAAGTCCAACCGTGGTCAAAGAATACTCGAAGGTAAAGTTGCAGGGGCAATATGAGGAAAAGGTCATTGACCCAGACGCTCCTTTTGAAAACTACGACAACAAGTGGCGAAACCCCAGCTAAGCCGCAGACCATTATTGGCAAATTCTAGAAACAAGTCGATAAACTTCGGATAAAGGGCTCCAATGACACTTTCGTTAGAAACAAGCTCGGTAGAAAGTGAAAGTCGAAGATGCAGTCCTTCGAGCAAGCATCTCATTATTTGCACATTTTAGCCAAATGAGCCGGAATGGTGCGACAGGATATTCAAAAAGACGAATTAACTTGTCAGAAGATGTACAAGATTTGTACCATCAAAAAGAGTTTTTTTGTCGCTTCAGACGTAACACTTTTGTCACCAATAAGGGTTATTCAGAATAACAGGCACATTTTTTGGATCAATGCCTCGGACATTTCATGCATCACATATTTAGACATTTTGCATTTCTTATTTTCTTTGCATTTTGTTATTTTCTTTGCATTCACATTAACTAATATATACATGTCTCATCAAAAGGAGTAAATACTGGATACACCGCCTCAAGTATTGGACACACCCCATCCACATAACACTCGTTTGAAGAAGAAGAGGATGGAAGCCAGAATTACACAAATCGAGGAGAATATGTTAAAACTACAAAAGGAGCTAGAAGACAAAATAAACCAGAACAGTCGAAATACTCTAGAAACAATCACAAAGAACCAAGAGTCCTTGGTTGATCAGATCGTTGCCAAGTTAATTGGC